TGGGCGAGTGCATGTTCTCCCTGTGTCTGCGTGGTTTCCTCAGATTCCTCCCAGAGTCCAAAGATGTGCTGGTAATGTGGATTAGCCATGCTAAATTGCTCATAGTGTCTGGGGATGTGCAGACTAGGTGGATTAGCCATTGTAAATGCAGGGTTACAGGGATAGAGTTGGGGAGTGGGTCTGGGTGGGATGCTCTTTGAAAGATTGGTGTGGACTCGATGAGCTGAATGGCCTGCTTCCATTCTGTAATGATTCTATGATTAATGGCAGAATCCAAATACATGGGATGTGATGAGACCTTGTAGCTCAAATACAGAACTCCCTAAAAGGTGGAAGGATAAGTTCATAAAGTGGTTGTAAAATGTGTCGTTTTCTTGGATTTACAAATAAAGGCATGAAAAATAAGGAGAGATGATGTAAAACTTGGACGTTACGTAGTCAATAAGACAGTCTGTACTACCAAATTCTATTCATCCAGATTCGTCCTTCTTCAATGGACAGAGCAGAATTTGTAGAGAAAAATCCCACGTGAAACTTAATTACATGGCTGTGAAAATCATATTTGAATGAAACATTATGTTTTGAAGAAATTATATACTCTTAGGAAAGTTTTAAAAATCCCAAAATATACTGACACCTAAATCTTGGCTAAGATTTACCAATGAACCACATGTAATTTTCCTTCACAGTTTTGCCAACATTAAGTCCTCATTCAGCTTAACATTTTCCAGATGGGCCTAAATGTTACAATGTTACATAGCTGTTTGGCACACTATAAATGCAAAGTAACTTCTTTCAGACACAACAGTAATCTGTATACAACACTTTCCATATTCTCCTGTGGCTCTGATTGCAAAGAAATTATTAAAGAAAGGAGTTCCAAGGGTAACATGGTTCAAACAGAATTCATCTCTTCCATACTGCAAACCACGAAAATATTTTAAATGTGGACAGGTTTTTACCACATAATTCAGCCAGCACTACATAGAAACAACTGTTTTCCTTCCCCAGAACAAAACTGCAGTCATGAAATAAGTGATTAGCAATTGTCATAACTAAAATACAGAGGTTTACGAGACTTCTTGTTGGTTTTGGACTTTTCTTTCAGCAAATCTGTATAAATCTGGATTATAAATTGCCCATCCATAATCTTACAGTTATATGTTGTGAAAGGAATGCATGCTTTCACTTTGAAAAATAATTTGCATTTAAATGGCAACTTCAATGAAGAAAATGTCTTTAAAGTTCATTACGGAAGTCTAATTTAACAAAAATGAATTGCAAACTTTCATAAATATTTGGAAAGGGTGAAAGGAAAGGGCTTTCAGGAACGTTTTGATAGGGGCAAAGAAGCAGATGATTTGAAGAACAGAACTTCAATGTGTGGAGACAATATGATTCCAGTGCAGAACCTACAAAATCCCAGAACATAGCATTCTCCAAAGACAATGACAATGACCTCCAAGACAAGTGGAATTCTGTCTCATCACAACTCTTGCAACCATATTCTGGTCCTTATAAAGCACAGAGGTGGTTTTCCAGAGGAAAGCATTTTGTAGACTAGTTACAGGACTCATGTGGTAGCCCTCAACAAGCATTCTCTGCCTCAAGACAACACCCTCTCGGGCAACAAAGTTAGCTTGCCACATTTCTGAACAGTGGGCTGTCACATGTCTCAGGACATGCGCTGGCATTCATCAATGTTTTCATGAGCAGCATGTCATGAACAAAGTTGCATGAATTTGCAGATGAAATTGCTCTGGCAATGTCACCTTGAATGGAGACCTAAACATCAGGGAGAAATACTTCCAGAAATCAAATGTTCAAGCCAAAGCCTCACAAAACAACAATTCATCAGAAAAAACAATAATAGGCACTGGCAAGGGAAAAAGCATGAATGGCCCTAGCAGAAGAAAGGGAGAAAGTGAGTGTTTTTGATCTTCAGAGGTTAAAACTGAAAACTCAAAGTTGACTTAAAATGGCAGAGGTAGAGGTGAAAGGTAGTAGTAGTGATGAGAACAGTGATGGAGAGCAATCCCATCATAGCCAAAGGCCTAGTGGGGATCTACTTAAGTATGTCCAAAGGATGGAGAAGGATGGAGAAAAGGATGAAGAAGCTTTTTTCCAATTCATTTGAGAAAGTGGTTAAACAAATTAAATGCCCGGTGACCATGTGGATATTGTTGATCCAAACAAAGTTGGTAGGTAGCGCAAGTGAGGTATTTGCATCATTATCTGAGGTGGTATTTGGGGAGTATGAGGAGGTGAAAACAGCCATCTTGAGTGCGTATGAGCTAGTACCAGAAGTCGACAGACAATGTTTTAAGAATCCACGGAGGAAACCTGGTCAAACATACATTGAGTTTGAAAGGATCAAACACAGTAACTTTGAGAGGTGGATAAGGGCACTAAAAATGGATCAGACATATAATGCTCTTGTAATGATTATTTTGGAGGAGTTCAAAAATTCACTTCTTGAAGTAGTAAGAACTCATGTGGAACAGCAGAGAGTTAAAACTGCAAGATTAACAGTGGAAATGGCAAATGATTATGAGTTGATTCATAAGCCAAAGTTTAGCTTCCGCCATCAATTTCAATCTGTGAGGGATAGAAACTGGGGGAGGAGAGAAATCCTCAGGTGGTAAGGGAAAAGGAGATTTCATTGAAGATAGTAAAGATAGTTTACCACAGGGTAAAAAGGAAACCCATGAGGGGGAAAGAGAAGTAAAAAACCTTACTGGGAAAGCAGGATAAGCCAGTGAGTTTGGTTGAAGTGGTAAAGTAAAGCACAGTGGAAGCTAAAAAGCTGCAAACAAAATGTACAACCACGTCGGGGTTGATTGAGAAAAAAGTGCCAGATCTCTTGACGAATTTACTCACATATGCCAGGAGAAGTAGGTAAAGAAATTAAGATTTTGAGAGATACCCCACAGCAAGTCAATCTTTGATGGTGAGAGATGAAGAGGTATGTGATTCAGAAAGAGTATTGCTAGAAAAAGTGGTAATTCGTGGAATTCCTGGTGAGAAGAGCAGTGTTCCATTATATGGAGTGAGGTTTGAGAGTCCGATAAAAAGTGGTGAAGTGGTGGTAGGAATTTTAGAGAAATTTTTTGCTCTGGAGATACAGTTTGTCCTCAGGAATGACAGAGCTGGATCACAGGTGGTAACTATGCCGACTGTGGTTTAAAAGCCAGTGGAAAACCAGGCAACCGATGTCTTTTGGGAAGTATATCCTGGGATTCTTCTTGACCGTGTGGTAACAAGGTCACAACGCCACAGGTTGAAGCAGGAGGAAAAATCAAGTAGTAAAGAGAAGGAAGTTGAAGTTCAATTATCAGAAAGTACGTTTGCTCAAACGGTTGAGAAAAAACAAGAACAGGTGGAGGACAAACTCGATATTTTTAGTTCAGAGAAATTAGCTGAAAGAGGAAAAACTGAAGCAGATGTATTAAAAAGCACAAACAGAAGAAGGATACAGATTGTTACTGTCTTAAAATGAAGTCATGATGGGGAAATGGAGAACATCACATATTCAGACAGATGAGAAATGGGCTGAAGTTCATCAAGTTGTATTATTGGTAGGTTATAGAAAGCAAGTGTCATGGGTAGCACATGAATTACCAGTAGGAAATCATTTGGGAGTAAGGAAAACTGAAGCCAAAATGCAAAATGATTTTTATTGGCCTGGACTGCAGAAGGATCTGGTTGAATTTTGCCAGACATGTCAAACATCTCAAGTAATTGGAAAACCTCGGGCAGTGATAAAACCAGCATTCTTAATATCCATTCCCTCATTTGAGGAACCTTTTACAAGAGTCTTAATTGATTGTGTAGGAACCCTACCTAAACAAAAAGTGGGAATCAGTACTTGTTGACCATAATGGATGTGTCTACTCGATTCCCAGAGGACATTCCATTATGCAGTATCACAGCTAAAACGGCTGCAGAAGAGTTATTGAATTTTTTAACTACATATGGACTACCCTTCTGACTTCACCTGCGAGAAGTGCACCCAACTCCAGCTCCTCACAGATCGCGTTAGGGAACTGGAGCTGGAACTGGATGAACTCCGGATCATTTGAGAGGCTGAGGGGGTGATAGAGAGGAGTTATAAGGAAGTGGTCACACCCAAGGTACAGGAAAAAGGTAGCTGGGTGATTGTCAGGAGGGGGAAAGGGAATAGGCGGACAGTGCAGGGATCCCCTGTGGCCGTTCCCCTCAATAATAAGTATACTGCTTTGGATACTGTTGTGGGGGGCGTCCTACTAGAGGAAAGCCATAGGGGCCAGGTCTCTGGCACTGAGCCTGGCTCTGTGGCTCAGAAGGGAAGAGGGGAGAATAGGAAAGCGATAGTGATAGGAGATTCTGTGGTACTGAGCGAGACTCCCGGATGGTATGTTGCCTCCCAGGTGCCAGGGTCAGGGATGTCTCGGATTGGGTCTTCAGGATTCTTAAGGGGAAAGGAGAGCAGCCAGAAGCCGTGGTACACAT